AAGGCCACTCCTGACTCCACCCACCCCAGGCTGGGCCAAGGACACCCCAGCACCACAGCCCCAGCTCCACACTGCCCCTCCCGCCCTCTGCCTCCTGTCCGAGCTTCCTGGCAAACTTTGGGGCGGGCCCTCCCCTCCAGGGGTCCCCAGACCTGCAGAGAGACGCTGGCACCTCCAGCCGATTCCCCAAAGATGGTGATGTTGTTGGGGTCCCCCCCAAAGGCCGCAATATTCCTCTTCACCCAAGCAATGGCCATGTGCTGATCCCGAAGGCCATAGTTACCTGGGGGCGGGGCAGGGGAGTGGGTGCTAGAGACCAGTGCTCAGGCCTGGCCTGCAGGAGGGGAGACCAGCGTGGGAGGAGTGGAAATGCCCTCAACAGAGTTGGGGCCCTGGAGGAGCCAGGTTGGCAAGTAGTGGGTTCCTAAGGGGCTGGGTCGGGTGGGGTGTTGGAGGGGTGGGTCCACAGGAGGCTGGGTGGGGTGGGGTGTTGGAGGGGGTGGGTCCCCAGGTGGCTGTGTCACTGTGGTGCTGGAGGGGTGGTGGTTGTGGGGAGCAGATTGGTCAGGCCTGCATGCCTCTCCTGCCCCCTGCCTGATTTTCTCGTCTGTATTCTGCCACTTCTGTGTCCACAGCTGTCTCTGCCTCAAGGTATCGTTTTCTGTCGCTCACTGGGCTCTGCTCTCCTGGTCTCTCTCTAAGCCTGAGCCTGTCTACCTGTCTGTCTGTCCCATAGCCTCTTTTTTTTTTTTTTGAGATGGGGTCTCACCCTGTCACCCAGGCTGGAGTGCAGTGGCACCATCATGGCTCACTGCAGCCTCAACCCCCTGGGCTCAAGCGATCCTTCCACCTTTGCCTCCCAAGTAGCTGAGACCAGAGGCGTGAGCCACCACATACAGCTAATTTTTTATATACTTTTTTTAGAGATTGCATCTCCCAGTGTTTCCCAGGCTGGTCTTGAACTTTTGGGTTCAAGTGATCCACCTGCCTTGGCCTCCTAACGTGTTGGGATTAGGGGCATGAACCACCTTGCCTGGCCTCCGCACCATCTATTATTTTGCTACTGCTGCCAAGGGCCTCCTGGATCTTGTGATTCTACTCCAGCTTCTGGGTTTTCCGTGGGACCGCCACTGGTTTTCTGGGATGACAGGCGATGAGGAGTCTCCCCCTGCTGGGCTCAGCCGCTGGCCAGCCCACCTCTGTGCCAAAGGGGCCCACGCACCTGGCAGGTTGGCGTCCCCAGTGCTGAGGAAGCCAAGGGGGCCGACGCGGTAGTTGAAGGTGACCACGATGACATTGCCACGAGTGGCGATCTCCTCGCCGTCGTACAGGTAGGTCTTGAGGAAGTTGGCCCCGTGGCCGGCCCCCATGAGGAAGGCGCCTCCATAGATCCAGACCATCACAGGCAGGTCCCGGGAGACTGAGATGGGGGAGCGGCTGGTGACCCCAGATGCCCCCGGGCCCTCTCCCCAGCTGGTGCCTGTTCCCTGTGCAGCAGGTATCTGGGGCCCAGACAGGGAGGTTCCAAGGAGCTGCCCCGCCCCAGGCTAGGGGACCACCACCGGGTGCTCCCCTCCCCGCCTCTGCCAGATTTCAGGGAAGCTCAGCTTTGCAGCCCCCAGACCCAAGCCAGGAGCAGGGCCAGGGCTCCGGCAGCCTGGGAGGTTCCCTTGGGGAGTGGGGAAGGCCGACCTTGCTTCCGGCCCTGGGGCACCCAGATGTTGAGGTACAGGCAGTCTTCATCCCCGTAGGAGTCATCCTGGGTAATGGTGGCCTGCAGGCATCTCTTCTTGAAATCCTTGGCCTTCAGGGTCCCTGCAGGTGGCAAGAGGAGTTGACATGAGGAAGGCAGCCACCCTCACCAGCCCCACCGCAGGGCCAGCCCGGCACCACCCACTCCCACCTTGCCAGCCAGGGTGTGGCTGGGGGTTTTCCAGAGCCTTGGTGGGAGCCGCGAAGGGGATGCCCTTGAAGATGTCCACAGAGTCGCCCAGGAGGCCGAGCTTCTTGTTGACGCCTTCCACGAACCCGCCTTCTGTGTACACGGGACCCAGCTGGGAGGGAGACACGGGCAGGGTCAGGCGGGCTCAGGCCCCGTGGGTGCCCAGAGGCAAAGACAGCTTCAAAGTGGGACAGCTCTGCACAGGAGACCCAGGAGCACCCCCTGCCCCGCACTGCTCAGGGCTTGAGGA